GTACTCAAACATTCATGTTCCATATTAGTTCATTAAAAACAGTTCAGGCCAGAGCATGAAGTAGACATGATAAAATCATTCAATACACACATCACGAACCCTCCACTGGATAACAAAGAACACAAAGGTAGAAAAACCACAGCTACACAAAATACTAACCACAAATAGTATACCTCAAAATCGACCGGGATTGAGCCCAAGAAGCATGTTGTTGTTTCCAGGCAGATACATCACGTTCCCGTTCCTAGACATAGTGGATGCATTATCCTTGGCGGCCTCAATCTTCCTCAACTCAATCAGACCCATGCCCGCAGCCTGAGTAGCATCCGAAATAAGCTTAGCAGACTCACTCTCACCCTCGGCCCTGATAATCGCTGCCCGCCTCTCTTGCTCAGCCTTTGCAACTACGAATTTGGACCTCTCAGCCTCCTGCTGGGCCACCTGCTTCTGCTCGACAGCCTTAGAGAACTCGGCTCCATAAGACAAATGTGTGATGGCCACATCATCGAGTACGATATTGAAGTCCTTGGCCCTGCGGATTAGGCTGTCACGCACAAGGGCCGAAACATGGGGCCGATCAGTAAGCAGCTCGTCGGCATTGAACTGGGCCACCACAGACTTGAGAACCTCATTGCCAATGGAAGGGAGGACCTTCTCGTCATACTCGAGACCTAGAGTTTTGAAGATGTCCGGCAGGCGGTTGACCTCCGGGCGGGAGAGGACACGGAGGGTGAGGTTCACCATCTGCAGATCCTTTGTGCCTTGGTCATAAGAAGAAAAAGGAATAGTACTTATTTCAGTTAACTGTCGAATATGTCAAGATAAACAATATTATGCTACAATAATTTATATTCCGTTGCAAAATTGGCATTTTGTTCAGGAGGATAACACCAGAGGACGCAAGATATTCAATCATGACATCAAAATCAACGAGCATCTAACATATACTTTCCATACACAAATCAGAAAGATTATATAAGAGGTTAATCGATCTCCCGAGAGCATCAAAATAATGAAAACAAGAAAATGGCACAAAACAGAAGGTGATATACCTGAGATAGAGGAGAAGGTGTGCGGGCGAGTACGG